TATATATATATATATATATATATATAATTGGTGTATATATATATATATAAGTATACTTATATAATTTATTTTATAAAATTTATTTTATTTATTACTTTTATCAAGTTAATAAATGATAATAAATTAAAAATATTTCAACATATATTTTAATCAAAAGTATATTTTAAAATCTTATAATGATTTTTTTTAAAGATGTTAAATACTCTAAATTATATATTTTAATGTAATAAGAAAGTGATGGTACAATACTCATCTCTAAAAGATAAATGTATAATTCATTCTATATTTTGACATATAAAGAGGAGATAATGTAATACTTACATCTTAGAGAAAAAAAAGTATAATTTACTTTAACATTAAATTAAATATTTTAACATTAAAGAGGAAGACAATGTAATATCATTATTTCTCATAAAGATAACATATTTTACTCTAATAATAAATTTGTATATTAGTTTCTTTAATGAAAAATAGTAATAAATTTATATTTAATGAAGTTAGCACTATTACTAGAATCTACCGGTAAAGAACTACAAGAAAATTATAGAGAAGATAAACAATAACATTGATAATTTTCATAACCTAAGAGCTCCAAAAATAACTTTACAAGTCTCATCATCCTATTTTAGAGAATATAAAATAACATTAATGATGTGTTTGGATGAGAAATTTTATAAATTTAAGGAATTTTAAATTCTTGATATTTAAATTACTTTGATTTCAATTTCTATCATTCTTAAAATATTTTGTTTGGATAAATCAATTCAAATTTCTTAAATTTTAAATTATTAGATTAGATATGATAATTTGATTCCATCATGATAAAATTAATTTTAAAAATATATTTATATGTTGATACTTTTAAATTAAATTTTATAAAAATAAATATTAGCTAATTTTTAAATATTTAATCATTTTAAAAATTAATATTAGATAATATTTAATAATTTTAAAAATACTTTTGAATATTGAATAATTAAAAACATGAAGAGATAAAAAATAAGATAAAATATATAAGTGAAATAAAAAGAAAAAAATATAAGAAATTTAAAATTCTTACTTTTTTAGGAAAATTTAAAATTCTACTATTTTAAGGAATTTCACAAATACTTAAATTTCAAATTCTTTATAAATTCTCCATCCAAACAAAGTATTTTACCTCAAAAAATTTGAAATTCTTCAAATAAATAAATTATTCCATTTAAATTCCCTATCCAAACACACTATAAAATTATATACAAATATATCATATTCTAAGACCAACTTATAAAGTTCGACCATTTAATTTTATTCCTTATCGACATCGCTAAGCCCATCCTGTCATAAGCTCTATAAACCGAATTTCAGGCAAGTGAATTTTACTCTCAACACAATGAAGATTAATCCTTATCCCACACCAAATGTCTAAACAAAAAAATCAATGTATTTCATACAAATAAAAATGCAAAATTGTAAAGACACAAAAATAAAGTTAAACTATTCAATACAAGAGTTTTTTTTATTTGACCTAAAGGTACAAGAGTCACCAAAATAAAATTAAGCACCAAAAATGAACTGCAAAGAATAGAATAAAAAAATATATATATAAAAAAAGAAAAACAACTGACATGCAAAACTTTTCTTGCGCTTGCCAGCATCTCTCAAAATTGTTGAAGCATCAGATAAGGATTCATTTCCATTCTAAGTCCAGTCCTGAAGATAGAAAGAGAGATTTAGTGAGTTGTGGATAACACTACCAAAAGCTGAGATGGGAACGAATTCAAAGCATATTATCCTAAAAAGTGTTTTATTACTAAGGAGACTGCTAACTAGTTTCCTCAGGACATTGGATAAAGAATCATAAGTGAAAATGTTTTATAAGAAATTGCAATATTTCATGTTATCAATGCATCCCTACCATGAAGCATATCCTATCAATTTCTTTAAAATCTTATAAGCACTAGTTTGCAAGACCCTATTACTAAATCACACAAAAACTGAATGAATTCAAGCACAATACGTATAAATAGAAAACAGAGAGAAATTACTAAATTAAAAATTAAGAATAAAAATCTCTGGCAACAATAGCACATCATGGTTTATAAATTGATAGGATATGGCACGACACAATTGTGACCCTGCATAGCAGGATTAGCATCGTGGAGCCCACAATTAGGCCCAACTCGGCAATTGGCACAAAACCCTAATCTAAGAAACCCAAAATACAAGACTAAAAATATACATTCAACATACATGATTTATATACATAAAAATGAACCATAGGTGTGCCTCAAGATAAGGCCCAAGTAAACAGAAGCTTGGGCCCACCATCCTCTGAATTGGCCCACTCTTCATGCATCCTCCTAGTCATAACTCTAGTCATGGGTCCCTTAGCTAGGCCTTTTCCATCAAGAATATATAACACGAAAACAAATATTTGAAAACAATGAAACTATAAAACTGAAATCATGATAATGCATAAGATGCAAAAAGGAACAAGAGTAAAATTCAAATGGAAAGAGAAATACAGAATCGACAACCCAAAATAGATACTATCAACCAAGTTTCTGAGTAATACTAAATAAAAGTGGAGACAGGGAAAAGAAAAGAAAATGTTTTATCACAAATTATGTTTAAAGTTCAGCTAGAAAGCATATGATGGAAAAGGGAAAATACTGTAATACTAGAGAAAACATACAAGCATGTCGCCTTAGAAAACCATCTGTATTAAAAAGCAGTGTCTTCCGGTCTTGACCTGAAGATAACAGTTCTTGCATTCTTTCTGGCCAGTCAGAATTTAATCTGCGGGCAAAATCTTCCACTTCCCTGCATCAAAAGGTACCATGCAAATAAAATTATAGTGTGCATCATACCATCATCTTAAAATCACTCTGGGTAACTACCACGCAAACATCTCTTTATATCAAAGTGATATCTTTGTTTACCCAAAATGAACTGGTAACAAAAATGATGGGAAATAAATAGAGTGTCATGAACATTGCCACTAGACTTAAGTGTGCAGAAATCATAGGTTCCATTGCTTGAAAACCCAAAAAAGTTGACAATAGAGTTCAATCATTTTGGTGACTTGTCCTCTGCATATGCAATAGGCTTATAAGATTTATTCAGCAATGCAGCAGACTAGGCAGCAAAAAACACTAGTGACTTGCAAGAGCAAATGTGCTAAAGATGATATCAGCCATAAAAGAAAAATACAAAAGAAGATTTTAAAAACAATACAGTATAAAGCATCAAGTCAGAAAATAACCCCACCTGTCAATTTTTTCCTTTAACGCAGGATCAATCCCATCATATATATCACCATCATCAGACTTAGGAGTAGAAGTGCCATCTTCTGCGTAGTGTAAATATGAGGACTCGCTAATTCTCTCAGCTTCAGAACTTTGGTGTCTGATATCATGACCATTTACCTCCTATTAATAATAATAATAAATAAATAAAAGCAATAAGCACTTTAGCATTTTGGTGATAAGAACATAACCATTTAAAACTGAGATAGTGCCAAATGATTTTATAATGTATGTGTTATACAGCAGAACATTTAAAACAACCTTCTTGTCCAGTTCAGATGTCTCCTTCGAAGAAGAGTTCTTCTGTTGCTCTTTTTTCCTACGGTTCTTCTTTTTATTTTTTGAAGTTTTAACTCCCTTTGGTTCTGCAACAAAATTCTTCACCTCCAGTTAGATATTCAAAACGGGAACAGAAGAAAAATATAAAGAGCTATAGTTCTCAAAAAATCTTCTATAAAAGCAGCTAAATATATTTCAAAAAGCAATTAGTACTGCCACAAACCCCAGAAATCATATCAAAATTATTGTTCTAAATGATGCAACGAAAATAAGAACACAGTCACAACATTAATGAAATTTGGTACTGATAAATTAAAAAATACATCTATGAAGAATTAAGCTAATTCTCTCTGTGAATAACCTTATTTATTTGTTTTTCTAATTAAAATCATTTCAAAACGTTATAATTAGGATACTTCACCACAATTTCATAATCTTACGAAGTCAAATTTCGCATGCATGTTTTCAAGTATTCCTCATCAATTTACATGAAATTTAGTTAAAGGGTAAAATGCTTGTATATGGAAAAGGAGACAGATTTTAGCACTCTCCTAGCAAATACTACTTCATCTTGGCTGTCATATACCATGTTGGAGACTAGCGACAATTTATCATCTAAAAATGCTGCCTCTAATATTCTCAAATTTAGTGTCATCATCTTTACCTACAGACACCCATACTGGACAGTTATATGTGCATCCTAACATTTGGAATTACATTTTCAACAAGTCAATTTGTAAGCTCATCTAATGGTTCAGAAGATATTTCATATGGGAGTAACATTAAAAAGAAAGTCATCACCAATTAGGAAGATAAGTACACATTTGATCAATCTATAGATAGAAAAACTTGAAGTACAAAGAAAAGGAGGACAAATATGTTCAACTTACCTCCTTCATTTCCATTAATAAAAGACAAAAGGTCATCAACTGAACGTTCATCCACATGCTCTTCTTCAACTTCAATATTCTGAAACATGCAAACAGCTCGACTCTTATTTAAGTCAAAACTTATCTACAATTTAGCAATACAAAATGAAGCAAGAACACATCAACACCAGTGTTGAACAGTTGGTGGTGCATCTTTCAAATAGAAGCAACAGATGAGATGTTACTCATCTTTCACAGCTTAAGAAGAATCAAAAACTTTGTGCGACTGTGCAGTCTATGCTACTACCCCCTTTATGGATTGGTTTCAAGAGTAACTTCAATATTTTTACATTTTGAGATTTCATGGCACAGTACTAGGTTTTGGCCAAGATTAGGCATTGCATGACTATTCATAAATTCAAATAAATTTTATAAAGAGAATAATATTTTTCTCATAATTAATAATTGTGAATATTCTATTATGATAAATAGCACAAAGCTAAAGAGATAATAATTTTAAAATTGAGACAAAAATTATAGAAATAAATAATTAAAATCAAAATACATCACATTTATTGATAGAGTATCAAAATTTAAAAATGAAATTAAAATTAAAATTGATTAAGATTACAATGATCTTAAAATTCAATTTATCTAAAAACTAAATATATCTTCGATTTAATACTATGCATTAAGATTGAAAGTTAAAATCAAATCAAATTTGAAAATAAAATTAAGAAATAGTATTTGATATGAATAAAAATTAACCAAAACATTAAAATTGAATGTTCAATGCAAGAGAAAACACATTCCTTGCATTGATGTTTAAAACTAGTTTTAGGTCCCTATAGTTTATTAAATTTTGGTTATGGTCCTTGCTACTACCGATATGCCAAAACACCTGCCCTACATGATACAACCATTTGGATCAATATTTGATAAAGTGGAGGGACTAGAACCTAAACATAATAAAGTTATAGGGACAAAAATAGAAAACAAAATAAAACTACAAGGACCAAAATCTAAACTTGCAAAAGTAAAACTATAAGTATCAAAAACCAAACTTTTAAAAATACAAGGATCAAATTCAAAATCAAGGTAATGATGTAATGTAACTAAAAATTTATTTCAACCATAAACTTTCCCTTCATATTTATGAATCTATTCTTTTATCAAAATAAATTTACATTTTCTACAATCCAACATTGTTGCCTTGATTAAAAAATGGTGAAACTATGCAATCTGCCACAACTATGGAAGCTAACGCAATACACCATTGACAACACTAATCTGCACAGTTTTCATCAATAAAAGTTCATACAGAAATACCTATTTAAGGAATAAGGACAACAATTAACAGTGTGACATACAAAACATGCTGAAGTTAAAGTAAGAAACATTTTGGTGGCACCTTTAACCTTTCACGCTCTTTTAGTTCTTTTCTCTTTTTGGCATACAAACGGTTCAAAAGCCTGATCCTTGGGTCGGCAGTTATATTTCTCAAGGGCTCCAACTTTTCTTCCTGATCAAAGGAATGTGTGAGAAATGAAAATAGAAAGTCCAAGAAAATATAATTGGCACACAGAGTTCTCACAAGCACCAGACACCTCTGTAAGATCATCGGGCAAATGAAATATATCACGTATCTCCTCTGGTGATTTCCCTTCGATTATTCGAGCAAGTGCACGACTGGTAAGATCAACCAATGGTTTTAACTGAAGGCTGTCTGCAGCAGATGTCAACTCACAAAGCCTCTCTGTGTCTATCCTAACGAATTTCTCATCATAAGACTTGCGTTCCTATATTAAAGAATAACCCTCAAGTCAAATACTCTCAAATTTATTGTTCATACTTGGATCGTCTAGTCAAGTATAAAGATAATAACAATGCTATAGCATTAAAAAAAAACAGTAGAACCTTGTTTGAGCGGCCTGGCACTTGATGAAATCGACAATAATCAAGAATTAAGCTCAACATGGCAGGACTGACTTGTTGAGGAAGGCATATTGCACAATTCTTAGAAGATCCCATGCCTTTTTGTATTATTTCTTGACATATCAGGGGGCAAAACATTGCAATTTCTTGTTCCACTTGTTGGATTGAATCATCTGAAGTTTGAAGCCAAACATAAGGCTTCATCATCTGAAAATATGACAAGTACCAGAATAGTTTCAGTTTCAATGTAAGAAAGTGACCAATGCAAGGTCTTGTCTCAGGCAGGGAAGCTTTGATGGATTAAAAAACAATTTTAATATTCTCAGACAAGTACACAACTAAATATAAAAAAAAAATATAAAAAAAAATCATAGAAAAATTGGAAACACAAAAGCTGTTAAAGAGGCTACCAGTCTACACTAAGTTAATATATTTGTGTGTGACAAAAAGAGAGATTCACCCCTGAAACTCCCGTCATTTATTTGATGGGTTGTGTGTGCACACACTGTCAATTTTGAATCCATGTCCCCTCCCAACTCCATCCTCAAGAGATTGAGGAGAAAACCAGACCAGAGTCATTTCAATGCTAAACCAACTCATTTAAAACCCAAAAGACTCAAAGAAACATTGTATTCACACAATCACGATTCACATCAAATAAACATGTAGTTTCAAATGCAACATTCCAGGGGAGTTGAGACTCAACTGTGGAGAAAAAAATGGCACTAAACCTATAAAGAGGCACATATGCATTGTGGTTCACAATGAAAACTAAACCTATTGAAATTATTGAATATACAGTCATTTCAATAATGTATCAAATGTCAAATATTACAGGAAATGGATTAACAAACCGTACAGAAGAGGATACATAGTTGATCAATAAAGGTCAAAGAAATAATTTAACCATTACTGCCGAAAGCTAAAAGAAGCAGAATAACTCATGAAATATGGAGCTACAAAGAAAAAATATATATAATCACTACACAAAGATAGCATACCTCGGGTTTAATAACTGCCATGTCAATTTCTGACATCTGGACAGCAATTTGAAAAGCAAAATACAGGGATACTGGAAGTTTCTTTATGGTACAAGGAATTCCTGATTTAAAATTTTGAACTTCAAATCCAAACAACCACTTAATATGTCCACCTGTCAAAGGACTTCTGCAATCAGGATGATGTTACTCGAGCAACATTACTCAAACACACAAGGTCCATGGGAGAATTTGTAGTGTTACACAGATCTCTCTATCACTATTTCAACAAGTAAAATAGGCAAGAACTTGTCAAATAGCAGAATGAAGAATGATTTGGCACCTCTCAAATTCAAAACAAATGCTGCAAAGTTAAGGATAAGAAATCAATAAATGCAGCAGAGGACAATATAGAAATACAGGGCAGACAAATATATACTACTCCAAAATTATGGATGGCCAAAACATAAAACAAGCATGTTATATTTGTTAAAGGGTACAACAAAGCAATGAAAATAGCAAGTTTTCTCCAACTTAATTTTCTACTTAAAATTTTGTGATCAAAGATTTCCAACACCATGGCTTTGTGCAGACACACCAAATGCATAGAAAACATATTTTTTCAATATACCTTATTCATAAACTTGTAAAAGTGTAGCTTAATGCATTACGTAATTCTTCCTAACAAGTATTTTCTAAGATGTCTGTTTTAGTCAAGCTCTAGTACTGATTTCTATGGACAATTGAACAATTGGAACTAATGGGCCATCATCACTTCAGCCTCCTACATTCAACATTTCCTGCCAAAAACTAGGGTGTGGGAACCATCATTGCTGCACCTTCATACATTTAACCTTTCCTGCCAAAAACTAGGGCATGATAGCCCTCTTTTTTATTGGTGTGGTTTTCAACAATCAAACAAATATTAAATTAGAAGCTATTTAGATCTATCTACACCTGAACTATTGTAGGAACTTTCGGAGTATTATGACCAAAAAACTCATAAATTGAACTTCGACACCAAACAGCATTATCTAATATACAGTTACCACACATTAGCAACTACTCAACTAGCAAGGCTCAGTGTAGCATTTTGCATCAATAGCCAACAAGCAGCTTCTCAAGTAAGGTTTTCACCTTTCGGCTCCAGCAAACTACTTAAAGTTAAATGGCTATTGCTTGCTTTAAGAGTTCAACAAATCTTAGATTAAAATCACTAGCTTTTCTTTCCCTTATCATTTACCAATAACCCCAATTCACTGATGATACTCACAAGTACCAAACAAGCTTTAATTCTTACTTGGCTAGCATTATCCAACTATATTATTTTAAATTCACACCCAACATAAAAAGAAAAAGTCACGAATCAGCAGATAATTCAAATTTTTTTTCTATTAATTTTTTTTTAAAGAGAACTTACTAACCTAAAAATTGAGTGTTTTTATCATTATTTTTCCATGGAAATCAGAAAACACAATTATATTTTTTGGAGGAGAGAAGGACATCCCATCAAACAATAGTACCACAATTAGGCACACGCACTCCTATGCTCATTTTTTAAGTGATAAAGAGTTAAACTTTATCATTTCTGCAGCCTCGTAAATATCACACAGATTTCACAGCTAAACAATAAATTAAAGAAATAACAACAAAACAACATAGATAGAATGCAAGCATGTTTTATAGTGTGAAAAAACACATTTTCAAGACAACCCACAATTCTTCAACACGAACTCAGCGGAATGAAACAAAAATGAATGGTTCAAATCAAATGTAACAATGAATCCGTGTGTACCTTAGAAATGGATTTGCAGAGTGACAAAACGAAAGGGGATAGAGAGAGGGAGAAAATGGGAGTTAGAAATTTTTTGTGACAGAGAAATTTTTCACTTTAGTGGTTTGTAGTTGGAATCGTTGTCAATGTCAATGGCAAAGTGAATAATACGAACGGTAGGAGCAGCAAACGACGCCGTTTCGCAAGTAAACCCGATTACAGATTAGGTTTGGTTTTGGTATGTTAGGTTGAGGCCCATGCCTACGAGAAGTAAAAGGGCCTTGGGCCTTTGGGCAGGATTGGAGGCCATGGAATATGAAAATATTGAAATAAATAAATAAAAACAACAACAACAATGAGAATGGGGAAGGGGATTATTTTTCATTAGTAGAATATTTCATAAGAATTTTTCTTGATATTTAACTTAATTCTTTAATTTATCATTATTTAAAAATTCTTTTTTTCACTACTTTGTAACCTCTAGACTTCAATGAGATGGTAGTTGTAGTCGATCAAAGATATCTTTTTAGGATTGGTTGATGGGAGCACAAATTTTTTTTATCAAAAAGAAAACTGATAGGTCATAAAGGAAATAATATTTTTGAAATTGAAATAGAGAATGGTGACATGGTGAAGGCAAAGTGTTGCATTGATAAAAACACTATAAGAATTGTGGTTAATGTAGAAAGATGTGATTATTGAGTTATTGGAAAAAAAATTGGTTTTCTTAACATGATAAATCAATTGAAGACCAATTGGATGCATACACATGTGGAATGGATATGGTTGACATGTGCAATGGCCTCTTTATGGCAATTTTTTACTTGATAAGAATTAAAGAAAGTTTATTTGGAGGAGTGTTCTAGATGATATTTGACTACTATCTTGCATTTAGATCATCATTGTTGAATCTCAAACCATCAAACATGAAGATTAATAGTATACTAATTTGGATAAGGCTCCTATGTTTAAATTTAGAGTATTAAGATGAGAGTGTTCTACAAACTCTAGGTTAGCCGTTAGATGATGGAGAGGCTTGTAATAGTTGATGCTACAACCTTAGACGTCACAATGAAAGTTTGTCTAGAAAACATTGGGATGGGTTTGGTTTCACAATTGTTGGCTCAATGTCGAGTATGGAGACTTTCATCTAATTTGCAAGCATTGGAGCCTTTATGGACTTATTATTAGAAATAGCTTGAAATGGAAAAACGAAGAAGTGGGGCCACCAAATAGACTCAAATAGTGATGATGAAAAGACATTGAAATCAAGGGAAGGAAATTAGTATGCAATCCCTATCTCCATGCAAGTCAATCACATGAATCAATAATGACTTGTACAAGGATTGGTTAGTGGTAGCAAAAGGGAAAAGGTACGGAAAATAAATATAAAGTAAAAGAAAGGGCATTGATTTTAGAGTGAATGGATGTAGGAAGTAGGAACCCATGACAATCAAAAGTCAATGAAAATATGTTTCAAACATTAAAATGGTCAAAATAAAGAGAGGATTTAGTGAATAATATAGCAAAAAGTTAGGCATTCAATTTTTATTTTTTTAAAGTAAACCAAGATATTTTCTAACCAAAAGCTATAAATTAATCCTTCGAGATATTAAGATCCATGTAAAAGTTAGTAATAAGGTAAGACAAGGTAAATAGGAGTATTTTGTCTAAATCTCTGACTAATTGGTCTCACATGAATGTCCCTTTGTGATTGAAAATCCCTTATGGTCAAAATGAAAATACATTAGATAACCTTAAGGGCCACGAAGCTCAACCTTTAGTTGGATGAGTCTACCCTACCATGGATTGTTTAGTGGATTCATTTTTGTGCATGATAGGAGAAAAGGTACCAATTGCATTTATGCAACACTACTTATTCAATTTTTCTTGAACATAGAGACGTCAACCTGGCCCTCCGAGCCCTATCCCAAGTCTATTGAACCAAGTAATAAAACCAAGTCAAGTCATATTGACCCAAATTTCTTAAAAACTACAAATTTGTTGGCCAAATTTGTGGTTTATTTATTTTTATATTTTTTTTACTAAATTTACTTTGATTTTACAAAAAAAAATATTTTATAATACTATTAAATCAAATACGCTTGATTGCATTCAATTTTCTGTATTTGACCAAATTAAATTGGTTTTACTTAAATTTTAAGAACTATATTAACCTTATTTATGAATTGTTTGAGTCAATCTATTAGATTGGATTCACCTTTTAAAACATTGGGTTGTTAGTTTGAGGATAAAAGGTTTCGAGGATTTATAGAGGACACATGGAGGGAACTTGCCATACAAGGAAGGGGAGGGTATGTATTGAATGAAAAGTTTAAGGGAATGAAAAAATAAACTAATAATATAGAAAAAAAAAAAAGGAATTTGGTGATGTTCTAAGAAAGTATCAACAAATAGTGCAACACATGAATGATCTAGATAAGAGAGCAAAAAATGGAGGTTTTGAGGAGGATGAGTTGAATTCAAGGAGATTGTTACAAGAAGAGTTTTGGAAGATGGTCACTTATAATGAGTCTTTGTTTACTCAAAAGAAAAAATTGAAATGGTTTGAGGAGGGTGATTATAACACTAAATATTTCCATAATCTCATTAATTGTAAATGAAGGAAAAATATGGTAAGAGGTCTTGATATTGAAGGAAGGTGGGTTGATGATCCGAATAGAGTTAAAGAAGAGGTGAAACAATTCTTTGAAGTAAGATTTAGTGAAGATAGTTAGGAAAGACCTAAATTGGAGAGGGTTGATTTTAAGCAAATTACATAAGAGGAAAGAGAAAGACTAGTAGACAAATTCCAAGAAAAGGAGATTAAGGAAGTCATATGATATTTTACTACTTCTATAATATTTTTCCTAAACTATCCTTATTATAAATGCCAAAAAAATGTAATGCAACTAAAAGATCATACATTAAAATAGAGATATTTTAGAGAAAGTATCATTGAATGAGGAAAAAAATATTTAAATTTTTTTTTATATTTAAGAACAAAAAATATGTGGTTTTTTTTTCTTATAATAGAGAATAGGGAAATTATATGTTAAAGATATTGGGGGTTATGTTTGATTAACTTAATGCTTACATTTATACCTCTTTTCTTTTTCTCATTCTTTAAGGTGCCAAGAGGAGTTGTGATGGAGCACCATCCTTGGAGCTTTATGTGGGACCCATCACTATGTCTATGGCTAGGAGATTGGAAGAGGATAGGGGAGCTAACACCCTTAGAGACATGTTTCTTATGGCTATTAATCATTCTCCTAAGCCTTGTTAGCATTAAATTTATTATTCTTATTTTACCCTTATCTTTAATTTCCTATTTTACCCTTGTATTTTAGGGTGTCTTAATCATAAGATTTATTTTTACTTGTATTTCCTATTTTACCCTTGTATTATGAGGTGCCTTAGATTATAGGATTTCATTTTATACCTAGGGTATTTTATTAAGGTTGGAAACTAGGCCTAGACATGTTTTTTGGTGGCATTGAATTTAGTTTTGGACTTGGCAAGGCTTGGGCCCAAGTGGAGGGCATCTAGGTTGCATGGTCTTATCATGCACCTAGGTTTTATCCTTTCCTCCATCAAAGACGTCAATCTTGAAGAACTTGATCCAAGGAGTCAAGGCTTCCTTCACATTGGTCATCATCTCTCCACCAATGCTAGTAAGGATGCCATCAAATTGTTAAATAAATAGTCTCCATTCAAAGTAACTTCCCATAGGGGAGTGAGTAAAGAAGAAATAAAGTTAAGTGAGTAAGTTGGGATAAGATTTCTTGTCCAAGAAGTGAAGGAGGTCTAGCGGTAAAAATATTAGTTTGTTTACCATGATAATTCTAGAAAAATAGAGATGACAAATGCATCAAAGTATGAATAATTTTTGGAGGGAAAGTACTAGAATCAAAATATGGTGGTAAGAGAAGATTGATGAGAGAAAATGAAGATAGGACATGATCCATTTGGTGGAGAGATTTAAGAATTGTTTATGGGGATCAATGAATAAAACTGGTGTGATCAAATGATGGTTTGGAAAGATTAAATTTTTGATAGATAAATGGTTGGAGGAAGAGAATATGGCAACAACATATCTTAGATTGTTTTTAAATCTTGAACAAAAATTTGATGAGATTGATAAGATGGGATGATGGGAAAAGGGGGTTTGGTATGGGATTTGAAATATAAAAGAAAATGTATGAATTTTGTTGTTGAATTTTGATGGTACATTTACCTTGAGCTCAGCTTATAAGGCATTGTACAAAGAAGTTGTGGGGAGTCAAGAAGATCAATTGTTAAAATTAGTGAAGACTATGAAAATCCTCCAAAAGTGACATTTTTTAATTTTGGAGAATATTCCTAAATAGAATGCCCACAAAGGATAATTTAAGAAGAAAAATTAATTTGGATGTTACTAAAATATTTTGCCCTTTTTGTCAAGACAAAGAAGAAATGACTTCGCATATACTTTTCTCTTGTGAAAAAGCCTTTGCAATATGAATGGTTTGTTACTATTGACTAAATGAAAATTGCATTGTTGCATTAACCAAAAACCTACTTCTAACCGCATATGTTAAAGTCAAGTTCAAAAGTCTACATTGATAGATGGAGAGTTATATGGTGTGGTGTGATATGGTGTTTATGGCTATATAAGAATAAATGTATATTTAAAATAGGAGTGTTTGATAGAGAAAAAATATTGGATAAAGTTCTTTATTATACTTGGACGTTGATGAAAGACCTAACAAAAAATATGGACCATGCATTCTTAATTTGGGTTATGAATACAAGGGTGCGCTTGAAGGATTGTTGAATGAAAGGACGATATAGATGAATTACGAATGAAAAAAATATATCATGTGAGACTCTATGAATGAAGAGCATGATGTGATAAGAAAAACCTTTCATGAATGCTACATTGTGAAATTTTTAGTATTATTATGGGCAAGAATGTTATCAAAGTGATACAATATATGAGTACTTATTTTTTTAGAGCTTTAGTAACTTTGTATTTATATTACTTACGAATGCTATAAATATAAATGAATGAAGACTTTATATTTGTACATAGTTATATATGCTATTTGTAAAAGGTTTTTAGTAGCCTTTTGTACCATATAGAAATACAAGTGTTTTTTGCCGATAAAAAGATTGAATTC